ACAAGTGTTTAATTATCAAATATAATTGTAGAAATACACTATTTCCAGGTGTATTGTCATTCATGGCTGTGAAATATCCATGACTGTTTTTTGTGAAGAGTAGGTTAAGATGTACCAGTGGATGTCTCTGTTAATCGAGCAAATGATACACAATTATATATACTGCTGGCTGTGATTAAGAGAATGTGAACATTTTTGTGCTACAATACATTAAATTAAACTTTCTACATGGCAGGTGAATTACCAAATTATAAAATCATGTAAATAATTTATGGCCCATTTTTAGATTAGAATTGTCCTAGAATTAGCTTTTTTCCTAAATCTGTGTGGTGACTGCAGGAAATATTATGAAAACCAATCACTCTGAATATTAATTTAGGGAATTTTGATTTCTCAGTTCATGACCCCTTTAATATTTATTTTAAACATAGTATAGGTATTCTCATTGATCCAACTCATCCCTCATTGAATCACTCCATAGCTCTTTCTATGGGCCTATGATATAGACCAGTGTTTTTAGCCTTTTTCACTCAAAGGCATCCCCCATTGAGAACTACTGATGAATATGCCTTCTAATTTTATAGGGTAACATACATCCTGAAATGTCTGTTATTACTCCTCGTCTAGGGGACAACTTAAGAAGTGTCCCAGCTACCCCACTCTCTTCAATAAGCACCTTACTTATGTTTTTTAATTAAAACTTTTAAATTAAAAAGGAAATATTTAGTGCACCAAAAACAACTAAACTGAACTACAGTAAATGTTAGGATACTATTGTACAATATATGTGAGGCTAGAATGTACAAGCAAAACTGTACCTTCTCTCTTCCTCAAGCTGATTGGTCAGTTCCATTCTGTCTTTCTGTGTGCTTGCCAGCAGGGCTCGGACTTGCTGTAGGTTGCTCTCTGCCTCTGTTGCATACTGAAAGAGATATGAGAAAAGGTCATTGTTCTTCAGAAATTCATTTGAATGCAGTGTTAAATGGAGAGTGTAAGTTTATATTTGTGAGTAACTGTAGTAAATGAATTGCACATATAAGTGTTGTGTTTATATGTGTGAGTCACACCTGCAGATGTCGGGCCTTCAGTGCCGTCAGCTCTTTTTCCACCTCGCAGATATGGCTGGTTGCCTTGGCGACCTCGGCCCGCTCCAGGTCTCTCTCAGCCAGGAGCTGCTCTATGTGCTGCTGTTTCTCCTTCAGGGCTTCCTGCAGAGCCGTGGTCCCCGAGATCTTCCGCGCGTACCTCGAGGACGTCTCTGTCAACTGCCAGAAATGAAGGAAAAAACTCACTGAGTGAAATGAAATTCAAATTCGAACAAGGATTTGACGATGAATTATTAAATGGTTCTTATCAAGCGTTTAAAGTGATGAAGTGATAAAACACATCATGACCCCTTTAAAGGTGGCATATCATGAAAATCATGTTTAAGTGTTATAATAGGGTCTCCGGTAGGGATGCGCCGATCCGATATTCATATCGGGTATCGGCTCCGATAGTACCATTTTTCTCGGTATCGGTCAGAGAGGGCGAATTATTCTGTGTTACTTCTGAAGCCATACGATAGCTTAATATGAGCTACATATGAATATTTAAGTCCTTACATTAAAATTCACACAAACTCTTTTCTCCGCTGTGGCTGTCAGTCATTCGGTCAGCCTTTAAACCCTGCTCGCGTTCGGTTACAAAAGTCAGCTCAGTAAAGCTCTCTCCAAGATCATTCTGTGTTCCCATTATACTTGATTTGTAAATACATGTCTATGATTTTGCAAAAAGGACTTTACCTTCTTGCCGGAGTTTAATGTTGTTTTGTTACTTGCTACCGGGTGTCTGTGAGAACAAAACACGGGCGTAGAAAAGACTATAAATTGTTTTTAACGTGCACAGTAACTGAAATTTAAAACTTGTAAAAGAAAGGCTCAATAACTTTGCACTTTGCACTTTTTAACACGAAGCGCTTACAATGTGCGCATCCGGTGTGCAGATAATATTTATTTTAAACATAGTATAGGTATTCTCATTGATCCAACTCATCCCTCATTGAATCACTCCATAGCTCTTTCTATGGGCCTATGATATAGACCAGTGTTTTTAGCCTTTTTCACTCAAAGGCATCCCCCATTGAGAACTACTGATGAATATGCCTTCTAATTTTATAGGGTAACATACATCCTGAAATGTCTGTTATTACTCCTCGTCTAGGGGACAACTTAAGAAGTGTCCCAGCTACCCCACTCTCTTCAATAAGCACCTTATTTATGTTTTTTAATTAAAACTTTTAAATTAAAAAGGAAATATTTAGTGCACCAAAAACAACTAAACTGAACTACAGTAAATGTTAGGATACTATTGTACAATATATGTGAGGCTAGAATGTACAAGCAAAACTGTACCTTCTCTCTTCCTCAAGCTGATTGGTCAGTTCCATTCTGTCTTTCTGTGTGCTTGCCAGCAGGGCTCGGACTTGCTGTAGGTTGCTCTCTCCCTCTGTTGCATACTGAAAGAGATATGAGAAAAGGTCATTGTTCTTCAGAAATTCATTTGAATGCAGTGTTAAATGGAGAGTGTAAGTTTATATTTGTGAGTAACTGTAGTAAATGAATTGCACATATAAGTGTTGTGTTTATATGTGTGAGTCACACCTGCAGATGTCGGGCCTTCAGTGCCGTCAGCTCTTTTTCCACCTCGCAGATATGGCTGGTTGCCTTGGCGACCTCGGCCCGCTCCAGGTCTCTCTCAGCCAGGAGCTGCTCTATGTGCTGCTGTTTCTCCTTCAGGGCTTCCTGCAGAGCCGTGGTCCCCGAGATCTTCCGCGCGTACCTCGAGGACGTCTCTGTCAACTGCCAGAAATGAAGGAAAAAACTCACTGAGTGAAATGAAATTCAAATTCGAACAAGGATTTGACGATGAATTATTAAATGGTTCTTATCAAGCGTTTAAAGTGATGAAGTGATAAAACACATCATGACCCCTTTAAAGGTGGCATATCATGAAAATCATGTTTAAGTGTTATAATAGGGTCTCCGGTAGGGATGCGCCGATCCGATATTCATATCGGGTATCGGCTCCGATAGTACCATTTTTCTCGGTATCGGTCAGAGAGGGCGAATTATTCTGTGTTACTTCTGAAGCCATACGATAGCTTAATATGAGCTACATATGAATATTTAAGTCCTTACATTAAAATTCACACAAACTCTTTTCTCCGCTGTGGCTGTCAGTCATTCGGTCAGCCTTTAAACCCTGCTCGCGTTCGGTTACAAAAGTCAGCTCAGTAAAGCTCTCTCCAAGATCATTCTGTGTTCCCATTATACTTGATTTGTAAATACATGTCTATGATTTTGCAAAAAGGACTTTACCTTCTTGCCGGAGTTTAATGTTGTTTTGTTACTTGCTACCGGGTGTCTGTGAGAACAAAACACGGGCGTAGAAAAGACTATAAATAGTTTTTAACGTGCACAGTAACTGAAATTTAAAACTTGTAAAAGAAAGGCTCAATAACTTTGCACTTTGCACTTTTTAACACGAAGCGCTTACAATGTGCGCATCCGGTGTGCAGAATGATGCGCTTGAAGCAACACGGTGTCAGGCTCAGTGTGAACTGAGATGCTCTGAAAACACCAGATCATGATCTGTACTTGTATTGATACTGCGGAAATTGAGTATTAAAGGATTATTAGTACTTTTTTTAAATATTCAGAATTGATATGTATCAATAAATCTATATTTTTAACCGCAATAATGCGAAGCAATCAGAAACATCAAGGATATCAAGTTTGTCTGCTATTTAACGTCTTAATCAATAGCAGGAGTCTGAGGTTGCAACTAATGAATGGCTTCCATCTTGGTCTTCATAAGAAATTCATCTTTATTTGTTTTGTCCTATCGTATCTATCATATGTTGTTGCCTTATTAAAATAATATGCTATACATTCAAAATACATTTATTTTAATTTTATAATATATACTTAAACATATATATGAATGTTTTTAATGAATGGATTTTATAATACAAATAGCAATGTATAACATTTTACCATATTTAGTGCAACACTTTTATTTGTTCCCCACAAAATAGT